AAGGGAGCACAAGAATCGTTGACTCGGCAAAAGATCGTGGGAAGAAGATGATCAGTCGCGCGTCGACGCAAATCAATTCTTGGATGACTGATAGTGTTTTAGACAAACAATTCTGAAGTTAGTGATGAGCGCAGCTTAAAACGCAGCAAAAACGACTTGTGCCGCTTCGTAACACCATAAAAGACGCTGATAGGCTCAGTTGATAAGGAAAATTGGATAAAAACGATAGAGACTTGAATGAGCAACGAAAATATAGGAAATAGGAAATAACTTACCTATAAACTTATTGTTGTTATTATTTTTCTCCATATAAAGTTGGCTGTCCACTGAGGTGTCGATCAGGACATCGTAGACGGAATATCGACGCTTCTTCGATGAGAACGTTAACGTCATCTGAATCTACGATTGCATTAGCATGGATACATCATTCGATCTGAATGAAAGCATGCGAAAATATGGAATGACAACAAATTTTAAAATGTGAAATTCAAAAAAAAAGAGATCATTTCCAGCAGAAATAGTCTTACAAAGCGAAGAGTAAGAGAACATGAATGAAGACATTTTACTGACGCATAAATTATGGATGCTAAGCAAAAAAGCAGTGTATGGCTTTGCATAGAACTTATGTGAAAAATGGCATCATTTGAAATCAATTGATTTGAAAAGTACACAATAAATGGCGAAACATAGGGAACTTTAAAGCAGCGAATAGGTTCTACTAAGAATATTTTACTGCGAAGAGCTAAGAGAAGGGGAAAAACAAGAATCCTGCAGTCTGACAAACACTATTTCTGAGTAAAGTTCCACGGAAATTTGTCTTAGAATGAATCCTTCGCACTTTCTTCTCTTCTAGCTTCTATTGATGTCCTAGATAATTTCCTTGAATAATATAAGATAATAACAAAGTGTTATTGTGGAAAAATAATTCTCAAGGCACATTAATAGCTCTTGATATATATTTTTTAACATCAAATTGAGCGTTACATTTGATTGGATGAATATAAAGAAGTGCTTATGTGCAGTAGAACGCACTTCAATTATAAAAATGTAAAATTATAATATAGAGATTATAAAAGTCATAAAAAAGCAATTTTATTCAATAAAACCTTTAAAAGGGAGAGTTCTACTGAATTGTTACTCCATTGTACATGTTTCATAATCAGACAGATAAGAAGCATATTTCAGAGCATATAAATCCAAAAACATGAAAGAAGAGAGAAAAAGGAAAGACGGAAAAGTTGTTTGAGTGTGGAGATCTTGGTTAGTATTGCTTTCGAACACTCTACATATGCTATTTCTTATCTCCTTCAAATCTTTTCGCTACATAGCTTTCTTATATCTGTTTAATAACGGAGAACAACAATATACATATGTAAAAAACAACAGCCTTCTATACGCCTAAACAAAATCTTTTTATATCGTAGACGATGAAATATTTCTCGTTTATAAGTTGCGAAAGTAACTTTGATATA